TCTTCAGGTACCAAAAAAAAACCCGCCGTCTTTTTTCTAGCCAGCCATCTGTCATATGTGCAAGTCTGATCGTCACATTGGTACCTGCCATACTCCACTAGGAGTATATCCCAAGCTGCTTTCAAACTCACAAAGCCTCAGTCTTTGACATGCAACCAGGTTTTTAGATTCACTCAGGTAGTACAGCCATATATCAGCCTTTCACAAAGGCAAACGCACAGGTTGTCAGTACAGTAACAGCTCCTTTGGTTACTGCTTTAAAGAGCTAGCCCATCGTCTGGACACTATCTCCTTTTTGAGACTACATTAGCTTGACACACTTCAACCTTCCATCATTATAGAGACAAGTATGCGCCAAACCCATCAATCTGGTGTTCTCATTACAGAGTGTGGAAATTTCCATCGGAAACAGTGAAGTCCTCAGATGAGGTTACAGCACACAATATTTTCTTCTAAAGTAATGAATCCCACTCAAACTGCTAAGATCCATTTTCCTTACGTCCCTCAAGACCCCTCGTTCTGAGACCGTCTCAGAACTGGTCCTGACAGGATGTCTCCTATTCTGCCCCTTGCCGATGTTTCTATGACAAAATCAATTTCCTAATGTCTTGGTTCTTCTCTAGGTCCATTTTGAAATCTAGGCAATGCCCTGGCCTTTCCTTAAATCAACAGATACTTCAAAAGTTTTCAAGCGATAATACACCTTGTAGTAATGACAGCCATGTAATAAATGGCATTCCCTCACCTGCACTTTGACCACCTTCCTTGGGAGAACTTCAAACAAGCCAAGCCCCCAAGTAGCTTCAAACAGCTGCCATTTTTCTTAACTTGCCACCAAGACGTTTCCTTTTTTTCTCCTTCTTCACCAATAGCCCTGCTCCCTCCTAAAACAACACTGACCCAAAGCCCAGCACAACCAATATGCAGTTCAAAGCCAGGAACAGGCTTACGTTCTGGAAATGGGACCTGCACACCACTGGAAAAGGAGGGGTTCTCCATTCCAATGGAACAACCAGCACTAGCTTCCAGGCCCTAAAGAGCCTGAGAGATGGGACTTTAAAATTAAGACATTTGTATGTATCGAAGGGTTATTTCAGGTCATTTTTAAAAGATGTTTCATATTTTAATTATAATTTCCCCCTGCTTCTGATCCCCGTACAACCGGAATCATGATAGTTAAGGTACCTGGGCTTTATAAATGAAGGGATACAAGACATAACCCCAATATATATTTTTTAGGAATTCTAAATCTTTTCTGCAATCATTTTTCGGTGAACTCTGTGGCCTACACAAAAGTACACGATGGTGTGGAGTTGTATGAAGGATTTTACTGGCATCCGGTTGGGATGACCTGCATAACTCACTTAAATTATAACTGAAATATTTGGTCAGGTAAAAGGCATCACCCCCACCCCACCACCACCATTATCCACCTTCCTCATGTGGCTGGAGATATTTTATTTGAAGTCTTCAAATTTTAAAATACAACAAGACAGACCACCCATTAAAATTATTCAGAGCTCAGGGCCAGTGGGAACTGAATGTTGTAGAACTGAAGCTCAGAACCCATTACAGAATGTTACAGAACCCATTTGATCAATATTCCGACAATACATGTCACTGAACACTTTCCATAAGAGAGTATCATGATCCCTATTTTTATAGATGAGGACACTGACACACACAGAGGTTAAGTGACTTCCCCAAGGTCACAGAGTCAGTGGCAGAGATGGGACTTAGAACCCATGTCTGAATTCCCAGTCTTGCATCTTAAGTTTTATACCGTGCTGCCCTCTGAAGTGTTGCTGGGAACTTTTCCTCAGTAGGGTTCATTTCCAATGGAACAATTACTCAAATCAGCCATGATTATTATTACAGTATGGTCCATAATTAATAGCAAAAAGCAATTTTAATGTTACTTTATATTAAAAGATGATGACTGTCAAATATGTAGGGCATAGCTGAGATGCCATAATGATTATTAACGTTGATAAAAGACAGGCTCAGTTTAAAGTTACACAGAAAGGGGGGGAAAACATCTTTTAGGAACATTAGCCCACATTCCTACTGTTAGATAAAATGAAAGAAGGTAACCAGTGTGATGAGGAGAAAGGCATAGACACCTCATGCAGAAGACAGATCTCACTGCAAATTCTGGTCCACATCAGAGTCATGCAACCTCTAAGAATTCTTTGGTTTGGTCAATTTCTCCTTTACTACATTTCATCTTAGTGTTATTCTATGGCTACGCCATTCAAATACCATATAGAACACGATGCCATTGGGATAATAATACGGCTGCTGCTGCATTATAGTGATGTTTTTACCCATCCTACCCACTTCAGAACAGTGGAATATTGGCATATTAACACACTTGCTCTCAGTGAAATGGATGTCTCATTTCCTTCACACAGCTTAATTACTACTTTATTGCTTCCCCCCCTTTAAACGGTAAATACATGTTAACATTGTGAGAGGAAGGATTGCCCAGTGGTTAGGGTGCCAGCCTGCGTAACTTGTGTGCGATTCCCTGCTCTGCATGTGTGACCGGGGGCAAGTCACTCAGTCTCTGCACGCTCAGTTCTCCAGGTATAAATTGGAACATTTTCCTATGTCACAGCCCTGTTGTGAGGGTAAATAGAGTCAAGTGCTCAGATACAAAGATAGAGAGACTATTCCTCTGGGAAGCCGCTATCCATAACCTCGTCTACAGAACAGAGCTGACTGCTATCTGTCACACCTTAACTGGCTGTCTTGGATAGATTCAACAAAAAGTTGCATTTTAAAATACAAAACCACTGCCCCAAAGTCAATCTACTCCCTAAAAAGGGAAAACAAGTTGGACTGCATATGTGATGCTCCTTTACCAGGGCTCTGTTCTACTCACGAGCTATACTGTGACCAGCAAAGTGGTATTTGGGCCTCGGCTAAAATAAAAAGCAAGGGAACTCAATTCCCAGAGTTTAATGGAGCTAAGAAACTAGAATGCTAGCAACCTTTGAGTCTCGCCCTCTCCAAATCACATCAATAGTGTTTTCCCTTTCAGTCTTCCTCTGACATTGCTGTCAAGTCTTTTATTACTGTATCAATCATAGTGATGGAAAGCTCAGTACCAGACACCTGCATTTGTGGCATGCAGTTAAAGATAAATAAATCTGCTAAGTTTAAATTAAGCTTGCCACGTGAGCCCCCCCCCTCGTGACTGCCAATGGGGAACGAGAGGTAAGCCAACGCTACAAAGCACCAGCGTCAGAGTTTAAGGCTAGAAGGGACTACCAGATCATCTAGTGCAGTGGTTCCCAAACTTTAACAACCTGTGAACCCCTTTCACTATAATGTCAAGTCTCACGAACCCCCTCCTAAAAATGAGTATTTCCAGTGATTTTCTCCTTTACTTGAGTATACATTATAAAAGCAATGAGCTTGGAAATATAAAATTTGTTTTTATGACATGCTTATTACACACTATTTATTGTTAATTATTATTTATCATTACAGTATTTTTATTACATTATGAAAACGGCAACACTCTTCCAAGAGCTCACTTTTGTAGCTTGTATCACTCTGAATAAGCCTGTTATAAGACAAGGCTCCTATGTTTCATCAAGGAGTATCAGATGTGAAAGAGCAGGAACGTATTTAAGAAGCCAACTCAAAGAGTTCCTCTTATACAAGCATTCAGGTCTGGAGCAGTCCAGGCAAACAACGCACGTTGCAACAAAGCTTAAACTTGTTCTTCATAATAATTTAAAAAACACGACTAGCTGCCTATTTAATTTTAAAAACAGCAAAAAATATCCACCTCCCTTTCCATTTCTTATAAGGAGTCTTGAAGTTTAAATCTCCTCAGTGTGATAGAGATGCTTGCTTTGATCTGCTTAGCTCTTGGAAGTCCAGGGGCTCTGGGCTGCTGGCTCCGTGCTGCGTGGGGTCCATAGGGACAGCTCTGTCCGCTATTAGGGATTTTTTCCCCGAGAGTCCCCTGTAACATTTCACAAACCCCAGTTTGGGAACCATTCATCTAGGGTGACCTCACCTCCTGTATATCACAGCCACTAACCATCGCCCAGCACCTGCACATGAAACCCAACAAGTGGAATTAGGCAAAGAACAGGAGGGACCAAGATGCACCAATGCCCAGGGCCCTTGCAACGGCAGGGAACTGATTAAGTGAGACATACACAGATGACACCTGCAGGTAGACAAGCTAAGGTGGTCTCTGGCTTGGAGTCTCCCACACGTTTTCAGTGGACCTTGTATATCAGTGGTGGGATTGTGGTGCCCACTGAAATTGTGACAATGCCTAGGGGTGCTGGCAGGAGTGTTGTAGGAGGTGGTTTCCCTTACTGGTTAGGTATGTAGCAAACAAATTGCACAGGTAGGTCATAATTTGGATTATTTGCAGAAATTTAGATCTGAATTTATGCCTGTGCAGTTAAGTGTTAATACAGGGTCACAGTTCAGATTGTATGTGGAACCTTGACTTTGAATGTTACTGGCGTAATTAATTAATGCTAGGGGTACATGCAAGTCACTAGGAAGAAACTGCCATGCTGCTCTGATCTGGTGGTCTCTCTACACTAGGATCCTGTTTCCAACAATGGCGAGTGCCGGATGCTTCAGAGGAAGGTATAAAATCTCCATAATGGACAAATATGGAATATCCTGACAACAGATGTTTCTTCCTAATCCTCAGTAATAACAGATTGGCTTATACCCTGATGCATGAATTTACACATCCCTTCTAAGTATTTCTAATTCTATCTAATGTAATTGAAGATGTTATTATCAATACATACATTTAATCTTTGTTTGAATCCTAATGTCTTGCCCTCGATGTTATCTAGTGGCAATGAGTTCCACAGGTTGATCACATGTTGTGTAAAAAACTATTTCCTTTTATCACTTTTAAATTTGTTGCCTTTCAATTTCATTGAATGTCCATTGAGTCTTGTACTGCAAGGATAAATAGGAGCAGCTGATTTACTTTCTGTTTACCATCCTCTCCCCTCTTATGTATCTACTCGATAAACGACATTGTCCTAATCTTTTCACTCTCTCAGTACTTGGGAAGCCTTTCCTATTCCTACTCATTTTTGCTGCCTGTCTCTGGATGCCTTCTATTTCTGCAGTAGCTTTTTTAACATGGGCAATCTAAACCAAACGTAGTATTCAAAGTTATGGTGTGCCATTAATTTGCATAATTGCTTTATCATCTTTTCAGTATTATTCTTTACCCCATTCCTTATGCATCCTACTATGGTTCGCTTTTTTGGATTGTTACTGTGTATTGACTTGAGCTGATGTTTTTTTGACCTGCTACAATGATGCCCAACTCCTTTTCCTGAGTGACTTCTGACTCTCAGCTACTACAGTGATGAGTATGGTACAACGGAGGACAAACATCACATTGTGTGTTGGAGACACACACACCCCCACACAAATTTGGGAAGGTCACAGTTTAGGCCAACAATCCCTTACAAAGGATTGTGTTAATGGATCATATTCGGCCATGCGTTATATGTCACATCCCATAATACTGAGCTCATATTAAAATTCAGTAATGTTGGATCTACACACCATCATATTAACTATAATAAATACATGAGCAGAGTGTGTATAACTAAAATAATATCATGAGCTATGTATTTCCACAGCAACTCTCTCCAGTATCTGGGTGCTGAACTATTAACAACTGCATTTTTTCCACCCTTAAACAAACCCTCAAGTTACTCACTGCTGCACTAACTTTCGGTGTTTTAGCGAGGGCAGTAAGTGTCCGACATACGAACACAATGGCAAAGCAAATGTCATGTTGGTTTGAAATGTTCATACAGATCAATTACACTTAGAAAGTCAATTGCATGTAGTAGGTGTGTGTATAATACACGTGGATTATTGGTATTATTGTTGGGAATTTCAGTATTGCTATTAGAACAAAAAATATAGTCTTGGGTAGAAGTCCATTGCATAGACACTTATAAGGCAGTTTTCCTAATCCATTCTGCTGGTGATTTACTTGGCAAACAGTTAAACATCTTATATAATATTAAGACGCTCACGCTAATGCCTAACATGATGAATGCATTGCTCGGGCTTGCAGAGTTAACGTGTCAAATGAACCATCAGCAAGGAAGGAAGAGCAAGCGGGAGCACAACCCCACAAGCAGATTCAGTTGTCTGGTCCACAGCAGGAAATTTCTTACCCAGTTTTCAGCAGCAGGGCAGCTGCACCAGTATTACCAACAGTGTAAAGTCTAGGGTAGACTAGGCATAGGTGTCTCTTCTCACTGTGTCCTTAATAGGATTAGCTGTGTCAGGACCCTTAAACCAGGTCTCTGCTGGAGTTTACCCCACTGAGAACATCAGCACAACTGAACAGTTGTTCTGGAATAAGAAATTTCCCGATGTAGACAGATGCATCCTGGAGGAAGTGGGTAAGACTCAAATGCTAATTAAACTAGACATTGCTGTCTCGCAGCCCGCGGTTCCCTACCCTTCGGGGTCACTGTCACAGTTTCTCAGACTGAGTTCAGCGGTGCCAGCCAGAGCCCACTGCCTGCCCTCTGACCCACCACCAACCTTGGCCCGCCACACAGACTCCAGTCTTGGCCCAGGTGCCACAGGGGGTGAGAAGATGTAAATCTGAATGGGAAGCTGCAGAGTGGTGCGGAGCCCAGTGCAAGGAGGGGTAGGGGAGAGACCAAATCCAGATGTGCACGGGGGGCAGGGGGGATTCACATGGAGACAGCAGATTTAAGATCAAGATTTTGCTTTTATTACAGACCAGCAGCAATCGCCACCTCACAGGGTGGGTCCCACTCACCCCCTACAGGACACACCCTGCCCCTCCCACCTCCCCCTATCTCCACTTGCTCCCCTAGCTACCCCCTGCCCTATAACTGCCCCCACCCTCCAGTGCCCCCCTCCCCTCCAGCTCCCACTCCCCACAGATCCCCCCTCCCCTCACTCCTACCAGGGCTGCCCCCTCCCCCATAGCTACACCTGCCCTGGCTGCCCCTCCCCCTCTGGCTGCCCCCTGGAGCTGCCCTGGCTCCCCCCGGCTGCCCCCGCTACCTGCCATCCCGGGACCCGCAGGTGAGTCACATTTCGGCAAGCAGGGCTCAGACTGACACGGAACGGACAAAGGGCGCCGCCATTTTGGAGACGGGCGGAAGCGGCGGCGTCTCACCTCCCCATCCCCATGCCCCCACGGGCTTCCGGCGCATGCGCAGCTACCGCGGGGGAAGCACGGGCGGCTGACAGGCCTCTCTAGCGCATGCGCCGCTGTTCCGAAGCGTCAGGGCGGGGCATCGAGAGCGAGCAGCGGGCCTTGCGGGTCACGTGGTGTTTCCCAGGGTTCTCCCCGGCGCCATGACACCAGAGGCAGCAGCTGGGCATTGCCCAGACAGTGCAGCAGAGGTGGGCTCAGGCAGGGCCTGGCTTTGTAGCCGTAGCCAGGGTCAAGGGGACGGGGCTGTGCCTCCCAAAGCACTGTGGCCAGGCGCCATGCGGAGCGTGGGTGCCCGTGAAACCTTGTGCCACCTCTGTGCCACGCCACGTCCTGGCATGAGCCTAGCCTGGGAAGGCTAAAACTCTGACTGCCAGACAAACTGACATCAGCATGGCCAGCGTCAGGCATTCGCAAATCATGAGCCGGGTCTTGAAGAGCCGTGTGTTGGCTTCAAAATCAGAAGGTATTTAAAAAATAAAAGAATGTTTTTCTTTTGCTTTGCGTTCTGGGCTCGAGGCTGCGCTCAGGTCCCCTGGTCAAGCTTTTCTTTGCCGCCACGAGGGCTAGACACGCGCTCTTTTAGAAAGGGAAGCTGAGATTCTCACATGAGTCCAGCAGCTGGGGCTTTGGGGAAGAAACACCAAGTATCACAAGACTTTCAATAGAACGGTGAGAGTTCGTAACAGCGTTACGTGGGCATGGAGGGAGAGGTGATCTTTCAGGGATCAAGCATGTAGGGCTTTGACTATCAGGACAGAAACCTTGAACTGGACTTCCCTGAAAGAGTCAGGATATGCCAGGTCTTCAGGGCCACTCGGGATCTGGGTATGTTTACACAGCAACTAGACTAGTCTATGCAGCTGGCCCATGCCAGGCGACTCAGGCTTGTGGGGCTCGGGCTGCGGGGCTGTTTCATTGCTGTGTAGACTTCCAGGCTTGGGCTGGAGCCAAGCTCTGGGACCCTCCCACCTCCAAGGCGTGGATCCTGAAACAAGCGTGCATCTAGCAGGGGTCAAGCAGACAGGAAGAGCAGGGTATTTACTCATCTGCAGATAAAGATCCTTAGAGGTGAACTTTGCAACATGCCAGCCTCTGATCAGAAGGTCTTATTTGGACTAAAACCATACTTTCTTATTGCAACACCAAACACAGGCTTATCCTAACATTGTTTGGTGTAGAAATAAAAGAGATACAGTGCCATGACTGGTTTCAGAGTAGCTCTGCTTAGACTGGGTTTGTGTCCTCTGAATGCTTACATTGTAACCTCAAATTAGCATCAAGGGCAAAAGTTACATTTTTAGGTTGCCCTGATTGGGTGTAATTAAACACGGCAGCACTGAGAGTGTTTTACAACTCTAATGTAGGGTGACCAGACAGCAACTGTGAAAAAATGGGACGGGGGTGGGGGGTAATAGGTGCCTATATAAGAAAAAGTCCCCCAAAATGGGACTGTCCCTTTAAAAACGGGACATCTGGTCACCCTACTCTGATGTTTTGTTCTGCATCACACTGGCTAAATTGTGTTGAATCCCAGTTTTATACACATGAGCAACTGAATGCATAAATGTTTGCAGGAACGGGGCCTGTGGAAGCACATGGTTCTTAGTGTAACATCAGCCCTTTCAGATTGTCAGGAGATATATTTAAAGATGGAAACATTTTGAAGTAAATCCCCCTCGAGGGTGCATCTGGTTAAATTTTAGATCATAGTAAAGTGCTGTCCCAGCTGGGGACATCCCAATACCCAGTATCCTGCCTCAGCCTTCCCTGACGAGCCCAGGAGTTGCCAATGGAAAAATGTACAGGATTGTTAATGTCTCATACCCACCAAAGTTCCTATTCCCGTGTTCTGATCATTTTCTGGTGCTGACGTCATCTGCTTGTTTTTCCTTCTTCTTTCAGATGTTCTGCTGCCCTGTTATTTAACCAAACAATAGCTGCAGCAATGGTTTGAATATATGCCTCACCCTGTTCCATTGACTTAGATGAGGTGGAAGTCTGCTCCCTGCCTCCCCATTCATCTGAATGAGGTGAAAACGTCAATCTTAGCTGAAACGATTTAAATCAGTCTGGATCTCTTGACCTATTTATGAGATTTGCAAGGCGTGGTCAGCAACTCTTCCAAAAGTGAGTGCCTGCCCCAAAGTCTGGGAGTTGTGAACGTCCCTGGCTCAACTGGGCGATAATACCTTAATTGTCAGCATTAACCATTTCACTGCTGATCATTTTTAGCAGAGGTAACTGGGAAGAGCGAGGGAGCAAGCCCTATAGGGGATAGGGATTAGGGGGGTAAATGCAGAGGGCAGAAAGGATGAGAGACATAAAGGCTCTGTCTACACAGCGAAAGCTGTGCACGGGACAGCCTCCCGGAGGGAGCATGAATTAGAGAGCTCAGCGCGGGCTAGAGGGCTGAGTATGTACCCAGGGCCTGTACCAACCCACACTGTGCTGTCTATTGTTACCTGGACTAGGTGGATTCAAGCTAACCTGTGCGCAGCTTTTGCTGTGTAGTCTGACCCGAATACAAGGACAGAAACACTGGGCAGAAACAGGAACAGTCCTAAAGGGGAGAATATTTTCCCACTGAGGCCTAGTGGACACTTCAAACTTAGGGTGACCTTGCCACATTGCTGAGGGCTGTGAAAAATGTCACGCCCTGTGTGATGTGGTTAGGTCGAGCGTCTACACTACCGCGGCGTGGCTGCAGCACCGTAGCTGTGCCACTGTAGCCGCTGTGGTGTAGACATACCCTGAGTCAGACTGAATAATAAACGTGATCTCATACATCCCCATGTGAAAATAACACTTTGCCTGTATGAGAAACTTCCGGGGTTCCCTGAAGGTGAATCACTGTCACTGGCTTACAGCGCGAGGGAGCCTCGTCTGTGGCCACTGGGAGAATCTCGTCCCAAACTACTGGCTGCTGGAAACACAAGTGCCCCGCTCTGGGCTCCGCAAGCCCTGCTCTTTCCATCCGCAGCACGGCACCTTGCACCCCCCAGCCCTTAGGCTCCCTAAGTGCAGAACAGAGAGAACCTGGGGCTGAATCTATGTAGATAGTTAGCCCTCCCCCCCCCCCCCCCCGAGTTCTGCTCTGGCCCCGGGCACAGGTCCTTCCAACCTGTCTGTACATCCCTGCTTCGTTAGACTCGAGTGCCCAGTGCCTCGCCCTCTGGCTCCCGCAGTGCCCACAGATGCGCTGTCCGGGA